ATGGTGCACCTTTGTCTGATAAAGGAGTGTTTCAGAGACTGCTTGGGAAGTTGTTATACCTTTGCATGACTCGGCCAGATATTTCCTATGCAGTAAGTGTTCTCAGTCAGTTTATGCATTCTCCCAGAGATACTCATCTAGCTGCTGCAGAAAGGGTTTTGTTCTACTTGAAAGGTACTCCAGGGAAAGGTATTCTATTTGCTAAGCATGGTCACATGAAGCTGAAAGCCTTTACTGATGCAGATTGGGCAGGATGTACTGATGACAGAAGGTCCACCTCTGGTTATTGTGCTCTAGTTGCTGGGAATATTATGTCTTGGAGGAGTAAGAAACAATCAGTAGTTGCTAGATCTTCAATTGGAGCAGAATACAAGGCAATGGCTCATGGTGTGTCAGAATTACTATGGTTATGATCCCCTCTAGAGGAGTTGGGGGTGGACTACGAAAAACCAATGATGCTCTATTGTGACAACCAAGCTACTATCAAAATTGCACATAATCCTGTTCAGCATGACAGAACTAAGCACATTGAGGTTGATAGGCATTTCATAAGGGAAAGAGTCTCTTCAGGAGAAGTTTGTTTACCRTTTATCACATCAGAAGAGCAACTGGCTGATATCATGACCAAGGGAGTTCCCARGGGGAAATTGACACACTATAAAAGCAAGCTAGGCATGACCGACATCTATGCTCAGCTTGATGGGGAGTGTAAAGAGACTGGGTCGAATGGGCCCTAACAGTCTTTCATGTGATATCCTTTATTTTATCTTTTATTTTATGTTGATGGGCCACACTTAATGGGCCTGTTATTTGTTCTTATTTTACTTTCTTTATGTAACTGCCAAGCTGGCCGCCCACTTACAAATTTAATGTAGTCTGCTATAAGCCAATTACAAAACAAACCTGATTTAATTTCTTTACAATTAGAAAAGGAATTCAAATCAGATATGCTAGATAAATAGCGGGTCTCATAAAATGATTTGAGTCCCATTCTTAATTCAAATAAAATAAAGATTTATTCACTGTAAAGACCTTTAATGGTATGAGTTTCATTCTTTTAGATGAAATACTTTATTAATTACAAACTTGATTTAACTTTTTTTGGAAGTGTAACTTAATTTATCTTTTAAAAATAAACAACTCAAAATAGATAATATTAGATAGTAAATACCAAATAAAGTGGGTTGCGGTTTACAAATAAGACCTCATTTAATCTCTTAAATCAAATTAAAGACAACATAAATTAATAGTGGGTTTCAAACAAAGTAGGTCAGAATAGATTGTCAATTACAAAGATATAAGACCAATATTAAATTTCTAATTTAATTCTTATAGCTAAATAGTAAATTTCAAACCAAATGAAACACAAAAGTAGTTGCCCCATACTTAGTATGTGGTCATTCTCTAGTTGGAAATGAAACCAGCCCCATAATCTTCTAAAATGATCACAACTGAAGCCTTATAGCACCTTTTGAATCAGTACTCTTGATCTTTGTTGTGCCAAAAAACTGACAAAACATGAAATGGAGTGTAGATTGATTCACCATTATTTCTAGAAATTTATATATTGCTTTTATAGATGTTAATTTTATTTTATTGCTGTTTACTGCAGTGTTTCTTATCTCTTTTTACATATTGGAAGGCCAGGGATATAATGGTCATTGTCTGTTGCATTATACATGATAAAATAGATTTAAAGAGGTGACAGCTTGAACTTTTTGCGGCATCTCTATTCTTTTCTCATCTGAACTCTCTTTCTCTATTCTTCTTCACTTTCATACTTGATTTATTGCTGTTTTAAATATATAAACTATGTACATGTTTTACCTGCGTTCTCTAAAAATGAAAATCAAAATTGGAAATAATATCAGCTCCATTGTTTTCTAAAATGTCCAAGAGTTATGTGACGTATGCCTTCAAACTCCTTTAGAATCAAGATCCATCAGTACTCTTGATCATCACCATGCAAAATGTATGAAATTTTGGAAGAGATTTGGGTAGAAGAACGGCCAAAACTAGTGAGGTGAGAAGGGAGCAAGAGGAAGTAGCTCAAAATAAAATGTTCTGATTCTTAAAAGATCTAAAGGTTCAAAGTCAGCGTAGCTGGTACATGTGACTAAGGTTTTCTCTTGGTTGAAAGAAGGGCTTTATGGACAACAAGGAGGAAGGTTCGCAGGGGCAAAAGAGCAATGATGATTAAATCCTAGATCAAACAAGATCAGTAGACAGTAGACAAGAAGTTAGAATTGGAAGAAGTGGTACAAGTCAGCAAAATCATGGGACTTTTCTTTTTGTGTGGCAAAGATATTGGCAGAAAAGCTTTTATGGAGTTGGAGAATGTTGGGGTAGGTAAGTCTGGTTAAGCACAGTGGTAGTATCAGTTTGAAGGGTAAAGTTTGTTGACTAAAGTTGTAGGAGAAGAGGGGGTTGGGTTGGTTGTTTGAATGGTCCGGCTGGATGCATGGTTGAGCTAGGGTCTTCATGT